TATAGTAAGCCCATATGGATCATGAATGTAAAGAACGAAAAGTATTGATTTGGAAAGTGGGCTTCAAATGTTCATAGATTTGATGGTGGAGATATTAGTTTTTAAGCCTACATTGTAACTAATAATACTACAAACTCAACCTAATCAATTCAAAATTTATTCAAAAAAAGAAATCATTGGCTTAGATTCGTTTCATATGTAAACCTCGTATTTCATCAATTTAATCTCCACCACACAAATACATTTAGAGTAAATTCAAGATCCGTAAAGATGTGTTGCTACATTTATGATATAGTGGTGTTTTGGAAAAATAGTAAAAAGTTAGTTTTTTGATTTCTTTTTCTTTTTTTTTTTGCTTTTTTTGTGTAAAAAATAGAGAAATGATGTGACTTAAAAAAATTAAAAAATTAAAAAAAAAGAAGCTAAAAAGCCAATCTTTCCTAATTGCCTATAACTCTACAACCCAATTGTGTGACTGACATTTCCAACATAAGTGTTTTTTTGATCCAGAACATGCAAAAAGTTGCTCTATGTATAAGATTATCACTTCGAATTAAGATTAGATTATTAGTAACAAAAAGAAACATAGGCCATTTAAAAAGACTAGCATATAGGTGAAACAACTAATTTTTGCAAGGGATCAAAAGTTCATTTAGTTGGAAAAAGCATGTATGACAATAGAAATTTGAATAGTTTAAGTTGTTTGAATTTTTGATTTAAATAGAAATTTGTGAAGTAAAAAAAAAAAAAGAGTATAAAAATATGAATAAAATACATTTCTATTCCCCCCCCCCTCTTCTTCTACAAATCGCTATTAAATTTAAAATTCAAATAAAGTCTTGATAGAATATTTGTAATTGAATTTCAAACTTTTCCTACATTTCAACACCTTTGTCTCTTCCTTTGTCTCTTTTCTAATATGAGAGTGTAGGTAACATTTTGGTACGGACTGAATGACGCTTCATCAGAAATCCCAACCCAACCATAGTAAGGTGTCTCACTTACCCAACTCTGGTTGAGGCTTGAACTCCCAACCTCTCTTGTGGGGTATTTGGGCAATATTGACAGTCAACTAAGGGCATGTTTGATTGGGTGGATTAGAGCATGGGATTAGGATTATTAATCCGTGGGCCCAATTATCTCATGTTTGTTTTAACATTTTGGTTTAGGATTATTAATCCAATGGATAATGAAACTACATAGTGACAACAAGTCATAAGATTGTTTGATGATAAAATAGTAAATTTAACTAATTTTTCAAGGTTAGGTCAGAATCAAAACACTCTCATATTCAATTTGGACCGACTCAGGGAATACAACTCACAATTGTACAGTGACTTGTGTTGGATTTTGGATAAATTTCACCATTTAGGGCTTTAAATATTAAGACATTTACTATTTTTTTAAAAATATTTTGAATGCAAAATTTTGGGACCTAAACAAATCTGTTCTGAATCATATTTTGAAATACTTTTTTTCTAGATTCCAAATTTGATGACTTTATGTAATTTAAATTTGGATTGAGACGTCAGTTGGGGCTTGCTTATCAAACAATATTTACTATAAATTAGGTTGTAAGCTTTCAAGATAGGGCAGCCATTGATTAAGTAATGAAATTCAAAAAAAGTTTTTCCTTTTCTATACTTCCCTTATTTTTTTGGGTTCTTTTTTAAAAAATAATTTAATTTTCATTGCATAAATTTGTGACTATTGAGAATTTGGAGGCCATACCTAATTTTTGGACACCTACACAACCTCACAAATGAGATCCATACATTATATAAGAATTAAGAAGTGGCACCGACCGGTCCTACATTTGGACCACGGCGTGCCAAGAACAAGACAGAATTGCTGAAAGTGCTTTCTCCATTTTTTTTTTCCTTTTCTATCCGCACATCTCATCAAACCACCTTCCCTCTTGTGCCTACCTTCCCCAATTTTTTTTTTTTTTCAAAAAAAAAAGAAAGAAAAAAAGTTGCAACGGGTCCTCAGCTTGTAACTAAAAAAACTATACAACTTCTTCAATCTCCCAAATATAGTACTTTTTTAATTAAAAAAAAAAATAAAATTGGGCATGCATGAAATCTTTATGAGGTAGGATGACATTGAACCCATACATGTAGAGTAAATTCTTGTTATTCTCAAAGGATTCAACTAGTGGATTGAATATATTCGTTTTATAATCTTTTGTAGATTAGTGATGAAAAAAATTATATTAATTTAGTAATTATAGATATTTGATTTAATCAAATTTATCTTCACGAAAATGGATGATAAATATGATTTTACAAATAGTTCATTCATATTTTTAAAAAGAAATATGATAAAGTTATATAATTATAATTACTAGATCAATTTAATTTTTTAAATTATTTTTATAAATGTGTTACGCATAAATTTATAAAATGAACAATTTAAATCCTAAAAATAGTGCTCATAATGGGCTCACAAGCCCAAACTGTAAACAAACTAATTCGATTTAGAAATCATACATATCAATTAAGATCAAGCATAATATCAAAAGGACTAGAACCTGATGTGAGTTATTGTTCATTTCAAAACAAGTTGCTTTAAGTTGGTAACGACTGCAGGGTTATTTCAGTAAAATCACATTCAACATAAAACAATTATGCTATGGAGTGACCCATTTTTAAGGGTGACTTATGAAGAAAAATGTTTGGGACCCCCTTTTAGGAGATCCCATCACCCCCACAGTGATGTGAACTAATGATGTGTTTGTATTGTTTTTTTTCTTTCTTTCTTTCTTTCTATCTTACTTGGACCAATCATAAGTGAGTGGGGGTTGTAAAAGTGATGTTTTATGGGGGTCTGAATCATTACTGGACATATGAAATTGCTTAATTATGTGGCCACTGGCCAACTCTTATTTGTCTGGAACTAAAAAAAACCTAGGACCACCTACCCTCCAACTTTAGGAAATTCTTTGGCACACATTGTTGAGGTGGACATTTTCTTACTTCATCATTTGTTGTATAGTTTTATCATAAAAAGGAAAGTACTTTTCAAGGCTAAGATAAGGCATTTTAGTAGGCTAGGAAACAGGCACTCGTGATTATGATTTAAAAAAAAAAAGAAAGTGTCTCATTTTTTATATCAATATTTGAAAGTACAACCAACTTTTATGTTACAATATTTAGGTTAAGTTAGTAATTTTTGAGATAGCTAATGTATTTGAAGACATTGTACATTCAATCAAGTTTGTTACTCGCACAAATATATTTTGCATGCATACTTGTATTACCTTCAAGTCACTTTTAAATTACATAAAATTTGACCTAGGTGGCTCTAAGTGTGCTTCAAGATCAAACACACTAATGCAAAGGTTTGTAGAAATCTGGCAAGCTCCACTTAAAGCGCATCCAAAAAAAAAATGTGCATCCAAAATGTGCTCGAAGAGAGGGATAATGGCAAATATCCTATGAAACTGTTCCAAAGTGTGCTTAAAAAGGGTAGGTCAATCTACAAAACTCTTGAAAGCTCTGCTTGAAGCGGGTTTGATTTGAATCAGTATAGTGTCCAAATAACTTGTAAGAAATTTTTATTTGATAATTAGGTGTTAACAAGAATATCCAAAACTTAAAAATATAATATAAACTTGTTTTCTTTGTCAAGCTTCCACTGAGCCTACATAAACAACAGACACTGCCAACCAATTGTTAAAATATACATCTAATGCACCACCACTTTCAAAGAAGTCTATTTTGGTGCATCCCCAGTGGATTAAGGTACCTACCTGATTCCCTTTTTTCATCATTCATGAATAGATTCTAGACTCATCATTCACAATCAAGATTAAACCGATGATCAAGTGGAGAATAGTTTTATACAAATAAAAAAAAATTATATTTAAGTGGGAATAATTTAAAATAATTATACTTTTATGGAAGTGTAGTCAGAATAAGTGAAAGTTGTATCTCATGTCACAACTTTTACTTGTACTGAACGTAAGTTCACTTGTTCTTCTATGAAAATAAATTTATTTTGAATTGTACCATTTAAATACACTTTTCTCAATATTTTTATTATAGAATATTTATTGTGTGGGTGATTTTCCGACCACACTGCCCGCTTAGTAATCAGCTGGAGAGCACTGGCAGAATAGATGGCACCTGACTGACCTGCAACAGAAATATAAGAATCCCGCGGTGGTTTCGACCACCCGGGGGCACTCCGATCAAGTCAGTATATCTCTCAAAGATAAATCAAGTACTAAACTCACAAGCTTGAGTATCAAAAACATACCTTAGACCCATGGGGGTGCCTCTCTTTTATAGCCAATACAATCCTAACCCCAATAGGAGCCTGGCCCTAATGTACTTAGGATTACTGCTAATCTGGGACTCCCAGTGGGATTAGGATAAACTCTCTAAGAGTCTTATCTTTACCCAAACTGAAGTCTTCTTCCAATCTAGGACTCTTGTCCATATCCAAGTTGAGTTCCCTCTTCATTCTAGGACTCTTGTCCCTTATCCGCTTATCTCGGATTCCGATATCTTCAGAGGCAACCTCGGCCTAGCCGAGATCACCTCGGCGTCACGACCAGGACACGTAGCACCTCGGTTGACACATCGGCGTCAACTTGCCACGTGTTGGTACTCAGAAAATATATCCCCACATTTATACTAATCGATGATTAAGTAATAAGCTATATAGGAACACAATAAGGTTTTCATAAAACATATCAAAGTATGTGATCTATGTCCCACTCCTTGAAAATTTTCCATGCACTTAGGCTTTCTCTCAAGTAATAATGGTTCATTCACTCAAAGATGGCGAAGTAATGTTTTCTTCTTAATCCCAACTTGTCATAAAACTTCAGCATTAACATTGTCTTAATTTTGTATCCTAGCAAACTCCATGAAAGTCAAAACAAGGGCATATTGGTAACATCAATGTTCATTCCAAGTGGAGGGTTTCTTGTAATTTAGGAGGGAATGAAGGCTATTTCCATGATGTTTCAACTATATAAACTGTCTAAATAACTTCCTCACTACCCTGCTTTAAAACAGAGTGCCACCTGAGAAGAATAGACATAATCTCTGCTCCACAAAGATTTTCTGAGAAAGGAAAATAAAGGGCTACAGAGAGATGAAGAGAGCCAAAAAACCATCTCCTCCAGTTATTCTTTTTTTCTTAGTTATTTTCCTTTTCACATTTTCAATTATTTCTGTCGAGTCGAGAAAGAACCAAGAGAGGAAGAGCAGGGCTCATAAGCAGAGGAAACAGAGGAATGACAATGGCCCGGACAGTGCAAACTTCCCAGGCCCTGCAATTTTTGATGTTTTTTCCTTTGGAGCTAAAGGTGATGGAGTATCCGATGATTCAAAGGTAAAAATCAGAGAGAGAGAGAGAGAAAGAGAGAGAGAGAGACATTTGTGGTTTAGTATTCTAATTTATTGGTATTTTACCAAACAGGCACTTCTAGCAGCATGGAAAGCTGCCTGCAAGATACCGGGGGCTACTGTGAAAATTCCATCGGGTTTCGAGTTTCTGATCAAACCCATAACACTGCAAGGCCCATGTACGCCACACCTTGTTCTTCGGGTCTGTTCCTATCTCCTTCCTATTCTAATTTAAAAATTCAAAAATATATTTTTAGTGTTTATTTAAAAAAAATAAAGAAATCAGTAAACAGATTATCAAAATATTCACCAGAATTACGTGGCAAATTTTATATTAAGTAGCATTTTGATAGGGTTTTTATTTTTATTTTAGAGTGATAGGCTCACAAGTCTACCACATCATTCTGTATATATTTTCTGTTTGTTTACTCTGTATACATTCTTTGTCATATTAAACCTTAACCTGTAAGACTATTAACACAGTGACATTAAACAAACAGATAGATGGAACTCTCTTGGCTCTTCCAAAAGTAGGGTCATGGCCAAAATCCAGTTGGTTTCAATGGATAAATTTCAAATGGGTCCAAAACCTCTCCATCCAAGGTACCGGTATTGTTGACGGTCAGGGCTCTAATTGGTGGAGTTCTTCTCAGACCGATTACATTCAGGTTAGAACAACAATTTTCTTGTTTGCCAAACACAACCTTTAATATAGAATCTGAAAGTTTTCATTTTACATTTCATTTGCAGAAGAGATCCAAACACATTCCAGATGTCAAACCAACTGTAAGATTTCTTCACTTTCCCATTTTTTCTCAAAATCCAACTTTGTGAAATTTCACATTTTGTATAAATTATTCTCTCTTAATTACAGGCATTGAGATTTTACGACAGCTCTAATGTCACAGTTCGTGACATTAGAATCATAAATAGTCCTCAATGCCACTTGAAATTTGATAACTCTGGTGGGGTGAAGATCGACAACATAACAATCTCTGCACCCAAAAACAGCCCAAACACTGATGGAATTCACCTCCAAAACACCCAAGATGTCGAAATCCAACATTCCAACATTGGATGCGGTAAGAATTGATAAAGGAACTGATTACTGTTTTTCATCTTCTTCACGGCAACAAAATATTATGAGCATATACAGACCAAAAATTGGAACTAGTTGAAAAATTTAGAAATTTCCTAGATGTTGATTTGTGATTATGTATCAATTTTAAGCAGAATATAACAATCCCAATCAAACAATCAAGACAAAGAGACACAACGATTTTACGTGGAAAAAACTACAATTAGACATCTCCAACTGTGATAAAAAAACCACGGGCAACACCCACAAAACAATCCACTAAGAAGATTTAAAGGAGTTATACAGGTATACTCTCAATTACCTAGCGAATTCACGTCTAATTGAACCAACCTCTATGTGCCTCTTCCAACCCGTCTTCACCTGGGAACTGTCTTTACGATGAGCCACCCCGGAATCCACCAAAGTTTCAGGCTCAAATTCTTCAAAATTCACCGAAGAACAACTCTCTCTTTTGTAGAACAAACAAAACCTTTGATGTATACTCTTTAAAACATGAGTTGAATACTCAATCAAAACATCAAAAAAAATTCACAAAGTATCCCCAGATATAAACCCTAGAACCCAAAAAGAAGATTTGGAGTAGTAATCCTAAAATCTGACCCAACACGCGAATTTATAGAATCTGTCCCGCGATCTCCGCTCGAGCGCCCAACTGCCCGCTCGAGCGGCTTCAGCAAAATATGCGCGTGATATAACAGAGGTTCGCTCGAGCGCGAAATCACATAGCTCAGTACTTTTACAGGCGACCAAAACTTCTGGAACCAGGGATTCTCCGCTCGAGCGGGGTAATGTCCGCTCAAGCGGATAGGCAACTTAGAATGCATTTTTGCATTTTGCTTGGAATGCAACTTGGCAGCTCGATCCCCGTCATAATCAGCGAAGTGGCAATCTTGAAAGCATTAGTATCACAAACTTCTCTGAAAGGCTTGATTCGGCTTGGATTCGCATCTAAACACTCATAGCCTCACTGAAATAAAAGTGCGAAAATAAATACAACTGAAAAGAGTTTTGTCAAACGGGATTGTCAAGAATAAAACCTAACACTAGTAAAAATTAACGAGGGCTTAGGCTCATTTGTCTCCCTCTCTGTCCTATATTCTTCCCACGTTGTCATGTTAAGACACTTCTTTTTTTCCGTTGACTTTTGTTTTTCGCTATATCAAATGTTAGACAAGGCAAAAAATATTTTCAGAAAACGTTTCCTTATGCTGAAACAAAGAAATTGTAATTGTAGTTGCATTTTCTGACATTGGATTCCCTCTTCTAACAGGCGATGATTGTGTATCAATACAGACTGGCTGCTCTAATATTCACGTTCATCACATAAACTGTGGCCCTGGACATGGCACAAGGTAATTTTTCATTGTATCAAAAGATTCAAAACTAGACGAAAAAGAGAAATATAAGAGATATGGGTAAGTATCATATAGAATAATGTACCATTTGATCTGGTAATGATTAACTCATTTTGCCTGTTACATTTTTCTTAATATTCAGTTTAGGGGGATTGGGGAAAGATAAAAGTGTTGCCTGTGTATCCGATATCGTTGTGGAAAACATCTTTATGCAAAACACTCTATCCGGAGTAAGAATCAAGACATGGCAGGTACCAAATGGTAGCCAAGTTTAATTGAGGGTTAATTACATTAAGGATCGCTAAAATAAAAAATGATCCAATAAAAACATTGTCCTCAAATTACCATTTTTTTTGCATTTTAGTTCTTACAATATGAGTTTTCTTTCATGTTGGTCTAAAAAATGAGTTTTGTTGCATTTGTTCTCTAATATTTTAATTTTGTTGCTCTTTTTTTTCGTTTTTGTTTTTTGGGTGCAAAGTTCTGAAAATACCCCTCATGCTGTTATTGATTTTGATCAATGTTGACTTCAGGAATTAAAATGTAACAAATCACATAGGGACCATCAGAATTAACCTTTTAATTCATTTATGTTCTATTTTACACTCATTTTGCTAATTTCATTTGTCCTCATAATGTAACCATACAGGGAGGTATAGGATCTGTCAAAAATGTAACATTTTCCAACATTCAAGTCGAAGATGTTAAGGTTCCAATCATGATCGATCAGTACTACTGCGACAACAATTTCTGCAAAAACCAGACAGGAGCAGTGGCAATACGTGGCATAAAATTTGATCAGATAATCGGAACTTATTCAGTGCAGCCCATTCATCTTGCTTGCAGCAACGAAATTCCATGCACGGATGTTGATCTGATCAATATTCAGCTGAAGGCATCGTCCTCAAAGGGATATGGTGGATTTGAACAAGCTCTGTGTTTTAATTCCTATGGGAAATCGCAAGCTCCACTTGTTCCATCAAGCATGGACTATTGCTTGAGGGGTGGTGGTTCTGTCAAGAGAACTGCAAGTTCACATGAGAATATTTGTTAGCAAATTTGTATAATTTAGCTGTTCCATAACATGTAGTATTTTTTTTTTGTACGCTGTATTTGGTTGGAGGATTTGGGAGATAGATTTGAAAAATAAAAAAGAAAAGATAAGTAAAATGTGAATAAAATATATCTATATTTCACTTAGTTTTACACACTTTTTCTCTTTTCCTTTCTAAATTTTTCTCCAAATCTCCCAACCAAACACAGTTAATGTTTTTATGCTTCCCTTTTCTGCAATGTTTTTACTGTGGGAAGGTGATAAATTAATTTGGTTTGTTAATAGTACAATGTGACTCTTGCTGATTTTTAAGCTTTCTTGCCAATGCCATGAACTCAGAGAGAGAGAGAGAGATGGCTTAAGATTCTACAACCTTTATGTTGTGTTTGGTTGGGAGATTTGAAAAGGATTTGGAAAGAGAAATAGAAAAGGCAGGTAAAATGTGAATAAAACATACCTATATTTCACCTAGTTTCATACACCTTTTCATTTTCTTTTCTAAATCCCTTTCTAAATTTTCCAACCAAATAGATAAATTTAAGCATTCAATGTAGACTGAACTTTCAACTCATTCCTCAAAAAAGACTATATATTCTTGTTTAAGAATTAAAGGTGGCAGAGAAACCACATCAGACATCCACTTAATCCTGTCTTCCCCAAGTTTCTACAATATTAATGAGTGAATTATGTTAATGAGTGTCATGAGATTACTGGTTAACAAATCTTAAAATAATTGTAATAACCAATCCCATTTGCCAAAGCACAATCACTTTCTAGTCGCATGTGAAGCAAAGAGAGAGGAAAAAGAAAAAGACAGAGACAGAGTCTCGAGCCATGTTTTTATCCAAAAAGAAACAAAAGAAACTGAATCTAGGAGGGTTGTGTAATCATAGCATATTCATTTGGTCGTGCTCTATATGTTCCTAGGTTTGGTGGGGGAGGGGCTCTCTTAATTATTAAATCAGCAGTGGGGTCGCACCCCCAGTGAGGTGTCGCGGCCTCACTGGTTGAAACTTAAAAAGAGGCATTTTTCTTATTAAATTATGTGAGAAATTTAAAATATTTAATTTTAGAATAAATTATATTGTTAGTTTTTATATTTTAATTTTTGTGTCATTTTGATTTTTATAATATTAATTAATTTAATTTTGATTTTGTCTCAAATTGATCTAATTAATTATTGTTGTTAGTATTTTTTTAAGGCAAATGCACACATGAGGGCTGTTGAATTCACCCATGTGTGGTGATCATCCAAGTCAAGTTTGGTTGGCAACAATGGGAAGGCAACCAACCAAAGTCCACCTTGGCGGCCACCAACCATCTTGAAGAGTCAAGAATGGAGGCTGCCCAAAGGCTCTCCCACCTACTCCCTCACCTATAAATGGAGGTTGAGAGGAGAGAGCAAAATGTGAGCAAACCGTGAGACAACAAAGAGAGTGAGAGATGTGAGGCGGAGAGACCGTCTCTCTCGGTGTGAGCGAGGGAGACGGGTGAGTGTGTGAGTGAGGAGAGTGTGAGCTCCTCCTCTATTGTAATCTTTCTGTAATCTCCTCATTGGTATAGTGATAACCGGTTACTCTCCCGTGGACGTAGGCATTGGGCCGAACCACGTAAAATATTGTGTCTCCTTGTGTGTGGGTGTGTTTTTCTGCTTGTTTTGATTTCTATAAGGTCTTGGGCGGGATCCCAGATCCCAACAAGGGCTGCGTCATGCTTTTAGGAATAAAATTATAAATTTGATCAATTCAGTATTTAACCTCAACTAACCAAGTTGGTGAACATTTTCCATCAAAAATCATAACGGTGTTATCCATTGGACCACATTAACGCATAATTTAAAATTAAGGGTCAAAATTGAGCATATTAAAACTATGAAGACTAAAATAACACAAGTAACAAAATGTAAATACTACTGATATAATTTATCCATAATTTTAAAATATAACTGAATAGTTGAAAGCTATAAAAGACAGGAGACAAAACGAAGGAATTTGACAAGGGTATTTTGCCTATGCAAAAAGGCATTGAATTTTGCAATTGGTAGCACATGATTCTATAACCCTTTTGGAGACCAGACTAACTTGGCCTTCTAGTGTACCTACTCTACTTTGATGTCATTTTACTCCAAGCTAGGTTGGTCCTATTCCTACCTCTTTTTGAGGTAGCTGAGAGAGACGATAGGTGTCTATGAAGCTTGTATTCCATTGGTGGTGATGGGGTGGAAGTGGCAGTGCTGATGCATGCACCGCCCAACCCATCCCTCCTTTTTCTATAATATTTTCCTCTTTAACCATTGCTTACATGTGCGTTGCTTTTCTTTCTCAATTTAGGTTGTCAAGTCTTCAAATTGTGATGATTTTGGATGTGTTTTAATTACTTGAATCTTAAGAGCGAACACTACAACATGTCAAGATTCAGAGATTGGAATTTGTTCATCTTCAAAATTGAAAATTTTAGTAAAAAAAACATTAAGAGACCAATTCCAAAAAGTTAAAAAAATAATATTTAGTGACAAAATTTTAAAAATGTAACTAATAAATGCACTTTTAAGAGAAAAAAAAAAAAAGTTTTTGCAAAGATGTTTACTTTTTTAGACAAATATTTTAGCTTCCAAAGGATAGTGAATCATCATTAAATATCTAATTTCGTGGCAAAAAATACAACAAATGACATTTTTAACAACTAAGAAATTTTTTATTTTTTATTTTTTTATATCAACTAAGAGATTTTGTCTCTGAAACTCCTAAAGTTTTTTTTTTTTACTCTCAATAAGGGTGAATATCTTAAGCATATGAATCGTATTTTATAGTGTGATGCTTGTTTTCTTTTTTTTTTTTAAACTCAATATTGGAATTTGCAAACATGCATATTGAATCATAGATCTTCAACAACTAAAGCTAAAAGCAAGCATTTTTCATTTATTTATTTGTTGTGAAGACGTTCCAAGCCATGGATAGTTACTAATTAACTTTGCTATTCTTAATTTGAAAATGACTGCCCTTGGTGGGTGGTTTACAACTTGGTGAAGAGAGATTATTGGAGTGTTATATATGGATTCTTCTATTTAATAGTATTTATGTTCATCAGATATGATAATGGTAGTGTAAACTAATGGTTTTCAGTATATTTATTCCTCATCTCATTGTCATAGAATTAACCGTATCACTCTTTCTGACTGTCAAAAATAATCTTCCCCTATTATTCCATACAATATTCTAGCATAACTATATATGATACAAATATTCTCATGATACATGTAATTGATTTTCTATCCTACATATTGTAAACTAATGGTTTCAGTATATTGTTTTATTCCTCAACAGTAGGACAATATATATAGATACAAGTTACATCCTGTAAATAAGGAAACAAACCTATTTTGAAGGAAACTAAATAAATCAGTCCTACTCTAAAGGAATCTAAACATATCTAGAATCAATTAATCTAAATCTGATATACAGCTCATGCCAACACTCCCCCTCAAGTTGGAGCGTAGATATCGATCATGCCCAACTTGTTGATTATACCACGGAACACCTTTCCTGAAACTGCCTTTGTGAGTATATCAGCTAACTGACTTTCAGACCGAACAAATGGAAATTGTATAATCTTTTGATCAAGGTTCTCCTTGATGAAATGACGATCAACTTCAACATGTTTGGTGCGATCATGTTGTACAGGATTATGTGCAATTTCAATGGCTGCTCTATTATCACAATGGAGATTCATAGGGCATGTATATTCAATCCCTAAATCTTTTAGTACACTTCTTATCCATAACAATTCACATACACCATGGGCCATACCGCGGAATTCAGCTTCGGCACTTGATCTTGCCACGACCTTCTGTTTCTTGCTTCTCCATGTGACAAGGTTACCTTCCACGAAAGTAAAATAACCAGACGTGGACCTTCTGTTGGTTTGATCACCCGCCCAATCAGAATCCGTGTATCCTTCAATCTTAGAAACACCATTGTTTGAAAACAACACCCCTTTTCCTGGAGCATTCTTCAAGTACCTTAAGATTCGATATACCGCATTCATATGCTCTTCACCTGGTGTATGCATGAACTGACTTACAACGCTCACTGCATAAGCTATATCTGGCCTTGTGTGGGACAAATAGATTAATCTCCCAACCAATCGCTGATAGCGACCTTTGTCTGTTGGAACTTGATTGGGAACAACTTCAAGCTTATGATTCAATTCTATGGGCGTGTCTACTGGTTTGCAAGCAAGCATTCCAGTTTCGGTTAAAAGATCTAACACGTACTTCCGTTGTGAGAGAAAAATCCCGCGGTTTGATCTCGCCACCTCAATTCCCAAGAAATATTTAAGTTGCCCAAGGTCCTTCATCTCAAAATTAGCAGCCAAATATTTTTGTAAAGCTTTCATTTCGCATGGGTCGTCTCCTGTCAATACCATATCATCGACATACACAATTAAAGCCGTTACCTTCCCTTCCTTGTGTTTTATAAACAAGGTATGGTCGGAATTACTCTGCTTATAACCGAATGCCTTCATTGTTAAAGAGAACCGCCCAAACCACGCTCTAGGTGACTGTTTCAGACCGTACAGTGACTTTTTCAGTTTACACACTTCACCTCTATATGAAGAACTGCGTTTAGTTCCGGGTGGCAACTCCATGTAGACCTCTTCCTCTAAATCTCCATTGAGGAATGCATTTTTAACATCAAATTGCTGTAGGGGCCAATCCCTATTAGCTGCTATAGATATGAGAATACGAATTGTATTGAGCTTGGCTACTGGCGCAAACGTCTCTTGATAATCCACCCCATACCTTTGCGTATACCCCTTTGCAACTAACCTTGCTTTATATCTATCAATACTGCCATCTGCCTTGAGTTTCACCGTGAACACCCACCTGCAACCAATGGTCTTCTTTCCTTCGGGTAATGGAACAATTTCCCAAGTGGCATTCTTTTGTAATGCCTCCAGCTCTTCATTTATCGCCTTTGTCCATTTCGGATCTGTTAATGCGTCCTGCACATTACTAGGAATAGATACAGTGGATAATTGATTAACAGTAAATGCACATGAGTCAGACAACCTATGGGACGACACATGGTTGCTAATTGGGTATTTAGTCTTAGCTTTAGGATCGGGTTCATATTGTTTCTTCGGGATTCCCTTATTTGATCTTTGTGGATATGTAGACATTGGCAATTCTGGGTATATCTGTGTTACATTAGATTCATCTGATACGGGGTTCGAGATTACCTGAGGAATGACATTTTGGGTTGATCCTTCAGTTAATGGTGTAGACATGGGCAGCTCCGGAGATATCGGTGATGCTGACATGTGAGGAGTACCTGAAGAAGAGTTTGGGAGAATTACCACCTCACGGTCGGGTTCAAAAAAATTCTCACAGCTTTGTTGATCACAATTCTGTTGAACACTTTTCCCGTTGTTCCCAAGCTGTTCATGCATGTCTTCTAAATCCATAAATACATCTCCTCCGCCACCGCCTTGTAACGCATTCTCTTCACTAGAACTCTCCCCCTGAAGAGAAGGACTAGAGACCCCTGTAGTGTAGTATGGTTTAGATTCATGAAAAGAAACATCCAAAGTGACATGGACCTTGCGGGTATGAGGGTCATAGCATCTATATCCTTTTTGAAACTCAGAATAGCCAACAAAAACACACCGGCGGGCACAAGGATCAAGTTTAGTGCGCAAATTTTTGGGAATGTGAACATACACAGTACAACCAAAGACTCGAGGTTCAAGATTTGGGAGGTGAGGAACAGAAAGGAAGGATTGCAGTTTGTTTTGAGGGGTTTGAAAATCTATCACGCGAGAAGGTGTACGATTAATGAGGTAAGCCGCAGATTTCACTGCCTCGCCCCAGTAAAACCGAGGCATGTTCATTCCAAAGAGAGATGCACGAACCACTTCTAATAGTTGTCTATTCTTTCTCTCTGCCAAACCATTTTGTTGGGGAGTATAGGTGTTAGAAGTTTGATGACGAATTCCAAGGTGGCTCAAAAAGGTGCCGAAGGATGTATCTATAAACTCAGTACCATTGTCAGACTGTAAAACACGAATCGTTTTTTGATACTGAGTGCTCACCATGGCATGAAATGCTTTAAAAGCTGTACATACTTCATTTTTTTTTCGAAGCAAAGACACCCAAGTCATTCGAGTGCATTCATCAATAAATGTAACAAAGTAACGAGCTTTAGACAAAGAAGGGATCTTTGCGGGACCCCAAACATCAGAATGAATGACCACAAAAGGTTCGAAACTTTTATTTAAACTTGGTAAATAAGGGATACGGTGGCTCTTAGCCAATTCACAAATGTCACAACAGAAATCCGAAGTATTCAAAACTGAAAACAGATGTGGTCACAATTTGCAAAGATAACCAAAGGAAAGATGTCCAAGTCTCCGGTGCCATAACCAGATAAGGGCTCTAGCTTCGTCGTGGCTGCTAGTGTGATTGGCCTGACTTATTTTTGGTCCTCCATTTTCCAATTCCAAGTAGTAGAGTTTGCCCTGTCTAACACCATAACCAAGAATCTTCCGCGTTAGAATGTCCTGAAAAACACAAAATGAGGACCAAAAAGTGACAGTGCAGTCAAGAATGGAGGTAATTTGGCTAACAGACAAAAGATTATATTCAAGGGATGGAACAACAAGGACAGTATCTAAAGTGAGAGTTTTGGATAGAGTGACAGAGCCCTCTCCAGTAATGGGAGATGTACTACCATTAGCCGTGGAAATAACAGATTGAGGAGAAGGGAAAATAGATTGCAATTGGCTGGAGTCCCTAGTCATATGATCGGATGCACCTGTGTCAATAATCCAAGTATTATTCTTAGAAATTGCAGAGAACACAGAGGCCTTACCATTAATACCTGAGTGGGCAATGTTTGCTGTAGGCTGCAATGGCTCTGTCTCCGTGGCTGAGTGGGCAATGTTTGCTGTAGGCTGCAATGGCTCTGTCTCCGTAGTTGTCACCATTGCCTTCCCGCTGAGCTTCTTGCGCGGTTTCTTGGTGAAATCCCACCACTCCGGATAGCCAATAAGTTCATAGCATCGTTGTTTCGAATGACCGGTTTCACCACAATGAGTACACATCAGGCCACCAGACTTTCTAGTGGACTGATTGCTTCGATTTCTTGACGAGCCAAAAGATGGTCCTGGGCGAGTATGGTTGGTCAACAGTGCTGAGTTCTCAGAGATTTGACGAGAGCCGCTCATGGTCTATCTCTGTTGGTATTCTCTCCGAACATATGCGTACGTGCTCTCCAAATCAAGTTTCGGGTCTTTTCGTAACGCTTCGCCACGAACCTGGTCAAATTCGGAATCGAGTCCACTCAAAAAAATATGGACCCGTAGCCTAGCCATTGCGGAATGCAACTGGACCACCCCTTCAACTGTTCCTTCCTGAGAGATAGTCCTATGATCAATTTCCTGGAAAATAGCAAGGAGTTCATTGTAGTATGTTGATAAGGGTCGACCATTTTGCGAGGTGGAGAATGATCTCTGGTTCAATTCAAAAATACACGTTTCGTCTGATCCATCATAGAAGGTTTTCGATACAGCCTCCCATATTGCCTGGGCAGTAGGAAGACGGATAAATCGCTGCATCAGCGACGGGCTCATTGAGTCAATAAGCCAACTTTTTACTTTGTGATTTTCGGTAATCCATGTTCCCAGATTGGGATCGCCGGGCGCCGGTTTTCTTGCTTCGCCAGTGAGATATCCAGCCTTGTTACGTGCGCCAATACGCATCTCCATGAGTTGAGACCATAAGGAATAATTTGTCTCATCAAGTGTGATGCTGGTAGGAAACGCAGAATTGTCTTGGTGGACAATGATCTGCGGTGTTGAGGCTGGGGTTGATACGCCTGGAGTGACATCCATTTGGACTCACACCAGATTGATGGTGGTATGGAAGAAAACTTAGCAGATGGTTGATTACCGAGTACCGTAGGATCGGTGATGCTCTGATACCATGTAAACTAATGGTTTTCAGTATATTTATTCCTCAACAGTATGACAAATATATAGATACAAGTTACATCCTGTAAATAAGGAAACAAACCTATTTTGAAGGAAACTAAATAAATCAGTCCTACTCTAAAGGAATCTAAACATATCTAGAATCAATTAATCTAAATCTGATATACAGCTCATGCCAACAGATAGGAGTGTGAAATATGTGTTCAAAACTTGTATCTAAATTAAACTTTTAATCCTTTAATTTTATATGATGTTGGAAAAAAAAAAAACTCAAACTCAAATTGACTAGTAAAGCATATTTATTATCTCACACATCATGGGAGATAAATTTTTTATATTTTCTTAAATCCTATTTAATTTCAAATAAATTTCTAAATAATTTATATTATATAATAATGTAATATATACAAGAATTCTTGTACTGTTGCATAACTTATGAATACATATTTCAATATCTTAACATCTGTGTTTACAAAATTACTTGAACACTTATTCTACTCACACCATATACTGGTATTCTAGTCCATGTGACATAGGGTAGTAGTTAGACAGATGTGGATGGAGTCCCATGGGAAGGTGTGGGTGCAAAATCCACCCTTGTACCTCTTTCACTCCTACTATTATGTGCAAATTTCAAGCTTGCTTGGTGGAAACCTTTCTCTTTTTCAGTTGAACTCCATTCAGACATGTAGTAATCTTCTTCTGTGGCTCTTCCTCCTTTAGATGATGATGGACCACAAAACATGCCACCCCATTGTGGGAAGTATATCAAAACCATTGGGAGGGTGCAACATATTATCATCACACCCATCAGAGTTATTCCTGTCTCTGTTTTGTATTTGGATCCTCTGAAAAATATTACTTGTGTCAAAATTGCCCCCATATTTCCTCCGCCGCCGGTCATCCCGGATACTACACCCAAAGACCTGAAAAATTATACATATGGTATCAAGGGCTTGTTGATGGAATTTCAAAATTGAACTCCAATTCATTTTATTTAATAGTATACCAGATGTTATGTGAAATTTAACGACTTATATTACCAAGTCTGACTAGCATATAAGAAAAATTTTCTTTTGTATACCAACACAAACATATGTATAAAAAATTTACAAAAAAAAAAGAAAAGAAAAGAAAAGAAAAGAAAAGATTGTACCTAAAGTGGTTTGCTGAGAAACACGGTTTGATTTGGAAAACTTATTTATTAAATGTGGAATTATTGTTCCTTTAATTAGCAATTCTCTCCCATTTTTGAAAATTGAAATTGTGTGACAAACCTTCAAAAAGTAAGTTGTGCTCTTTACGTAATAAAATAGATATATGATATGAAAAATTATTTGCAAACATATTTTAATAAATAAAAGGATAAATTACAACGATAGTCCTTAAAATTTAACACTTTTTTTCGTTTAAATCCTTAAAATTTAATTTTGTCAATTAATTCCTTGAAGTATTAAATTCAAATCAATTTAGCCTTGAAAACAATATAAAAATAAAACATGAGCCCAAAGGTTATATAAATTTGTTATAAGGCTTGAATTTTAATTTATTGTTAATTTAGTTATCCTATTTGTGTGTGTTTTAGAATTGATATAAGAGTGTGGTTTATTAATTTTGCCAATATTAATTTATGAGTATTAGATACACTAAAGAAGTCGAATAAAATAATTTAAATAATAGTACTACACTACAAATAATTATCGAACCAAATAATACTATAATCAACTTATTAAAAGAACTTAACGACAATCTTTAGAAAAATTTATTAGAAATTGTGCATGAAATTCGACATTCAATACTATTACTAGATAAAGGTTGGGCAAATTACAAACACGTCCCTTGAGGTTTGGTGAAAATACAGATTTCTCCCTGTGGTTTGAGAAATTACATCTCGCCCCCTGAGGTTTATATTTTCATAACAAATTGCCCCTTGAGGTTTATATTTTCATACAGATTCCCCCCTAATTTGTTATGCAAATTTGACTCTCAGGAGGCAATTTGTAATTTCTCAAACCTCAGGGAGAAATCTGTATTTTCACCAAATCTCGAAGGGTGTTTGTAATTTGCCCATAAAGGTAAGTAGTTAGCTCTTGTATAAAATAATTATTCTTATCCTTATAGGGATACTCTCTGAGGAAATCTTTTGAGTTTGATATCACAAGAAAATTAAAAAATGGATCTAAGTAAATTAGAGAGTAGACAAATAATAAATAATGGCAGAACAAGAAAAATATAATAAAATGAAATATAAAATAATATTAGAAATAGTCAAAAAATCAGATAAAATGGATAATTGTGTGTTGGAAGAAATAAATAATAGTAGACTAGAAATAGAAGAAGACATATATAAGAAATTAGAATTAATCAGTTTTGGAGAAATCTACCAATTATATGCAAGGGATTATTAAGTAAACAATAAATTAAAATATGGGCATGATCACAATTTTATATAATCTTTTGGCTTTATGTTCTATTTTTATATCGTCTTCAAGACTAAATTTATCTGAATTTAATATTTTAAGGACTTAATTGAAAAATTAAAACTTAAGGGACTTAAATGAAAGATGTGTTAAACTTTAGGGACTATAATTGTAATTTATTCAAAAAAAAAAAAAAAAAACTCTACTAAAATGATATGGGAGTGAGATGTTTAAAATAGTAAGCTAGTTTTTTAAGTTAAAATGACATTATATATATGGTTGAGTTCAATTATAATTCGACTTGAAATGCATGGAAATGATTGTAACAATAGTCGAGGAACAAAGTGACCTTGGTTATAAATTACAAAGGCATAAAATGTAGTTTGTCCAAAATAAAATAATTAGTAAAAGTAATTGTACATTAAAAAAATAAAAAACAAAAAACAAAAATGTTATGAACCACAAAAAGATACCCCAAAATTTATCTCCAAATGAGTTGTATTATGTAGATTTAAAGGTGTGTAATACTATAATTACTATATTTTTATCGGAATTGGAGCAGCCACTGTTGTGCGGCTCATGGAACTTATTTCAGGACTTATTTTGATGATCGGAACTTTTCATTTTTTTGAATACATTGAGTAAAACATAGTTGTCAAAGAACAAGTTCATCAGATACAAATGCAATTCGATGAAAAGGCTATCGATATCTGATCAACTTGATTTTTTGTAAGTATATTCTATTCAATGTCTTTAAAATGTAAACGGTTCAAATTGTTAAAATAGACCTCGAAATGGGCCTCATGGGAAGCACAACAGCCACCCTTTGTCCATTTTTATATCATTTTTAGTGTACCAACTCATGTGTCAGCACATCATTGGTGTAATAAATCCAACCACTCATGTCCATCTTCAATGCATGTGCTAACATATAAAATGATATAACTAGGTGATAAATAAAACATTACTTTTTTTAAAAAGTTGGTGTAATATGAACCCATCTAAAATGATTGAGACGCATATAAAATGTTTTCTTTTTGAGTTTATAATATGGCAGGAAAAAAAAAATAATAATAATAATAATGTAAATTGAGTGCAAAAAACATACCTTCTGGAGACAAAGGGAACAACCCCAAAAGTAAGCCCACAAGCAGCTTGAACAAACACAGAGAACACAACCATCACAGCAATAGAAGCACTCAAAGAGCCCACAAGCCCCAAAACAACACAGAACAAGCCTCCCATACTCTGCACAATCCACAGTGCCCAAATTCTACCTCTCATCCCAAACCTCTTTGCCATTGCATCCGAAATCAACCCTCCAGCAGGCCTCGAAAACACGTTCGCCAATCCAAAGCTTGCGGCTATGATCCCCGCAGTGTGAAGATTCACGTCGAATCTGTCGTAAAAGTACTGGGAAATTATGTTGTCGATTGTCAGTTCGACGCCAAAACAATACCCGTATGTCAGTGCCAAGATCCAACCTCTGTAGTTTTTGACTGCTTGATGGAAAACCTTTAGGAGGTTGTCTTTGTGTTTGTCTCCTGTTGATGCAGCCGAAAACGTGAAGAACAGAATCTATAGCAATAAGAACACTATAACCCATTCTATAAATCTGTTAAATTTTAAGATTTTTAGAATTATATCTTATGATTATCAGAATTATAGGAAAGGGAAGAAAATTTCTCTTTACCAAAAATGCAAAGTCTACAGGTCAGTTGGTAAGAATGTTGTCACGTTTTTTTCCTTTTTCAATAATGTTCTTGTAAACTGTCAATCCTTTCCACTTAGGCTTTGTTCGGAAAATGAGATGATTTTTTAATTTTTTGATTATTTTTAATTTGGGTTAAAATGTTCGTTTGAGTTAGATATTTTGACTTTTTTAACTTTGTAAAAGAAAAAGTAAAATAATTACAATTTGAATATGCTATTTTATCTTATTAATTTTTTAATTTATTTTATCTTCTTATAACTAAATTAGCCCCCATCTTAAAAAAACTCATGCCAAACGTGGGCTTAGTAATTTACACTTCCTACTATAATTTTGATTCTTTATCAAACCATCCAAAATTATTAATCAATTTTTTTTTTAATAATTAAACTACCGAAATATTTAAATGAAAAATTCTAACATATACACTCTTCAAATGGGTGCATCATACATACCCTTAATTATGTTTTTTTTTTCTTTAATTATGACATTATTTTAATTATGATTCATAAATTTTTTAGTTATGTCTTATGTTATGTTTAGTTATGACATTTTTTTATTTTTTAATTATGACTCAAAAAATATAAAATTATATCATTTTTTTTTAATTATAAAGTATGTATGACATATGTTTTTTGAAGAGTATGGGGTGTTTGGAAAGAAAAAAAATAGCCTAGTTTAGGCTAAAATTTACAAAAAGATAAAATAGGTTAAAATAGCTAATAAGACAAAATATCACATCAAACTCATAATCATTTTATTTTTTCTCTCACAAACATCACATTCAACCATAAAAAAATCCAATCATCTTCCCAAACACAAAAATTTTAGCCTACTAAAATAGCCAAAAACTAAAATAACCTACTAAAATAGCAACTTCCCAAACAAAGCCATATAACATAGTGTTTTCCTATTTAAGGCCTCGTTTGCCAAGTTGCTATTTTAACCTAAAAGTTATAAAGTTACTTAAAAAAAACTAAAAAATCAACAATTTATACAAAAAAGTTAAAGATTTTCTTTTCTTTCTACTTTTTACACATCTTTTCATAAAAAGTTAAAAAATTATCACAAATAAATTAATTTTTTTTATCTCATATGTTAACTAAAAAATTAAAAAATTACTAAAATTACATGTTGTTAAACGAGGCCTAAATATACAATTAAAAAACCATCACGTTATACCTATTGCAGGTTTAGAATAGAAGGGAACGCCTAATTATTACAACCAATAAATAAAATAAGAATCTTAAATAAATAAGAAATTAGATATTCTAGCCTTAAATAATAGGAAAATTTGTCCATGAATTCCATAGGGAGAAATGTTAATCTATTTAGTTTAAAAAGTTTTCTTATGAACTAATTGGTCTTTTTTGTTTTAAAAAGTTATATTTATTTGATTTGGTACTATTTAAGTTTAAGTAAATACTTTTTTATGATTTTTTTTAAATTTTTTTTATTCATTTTGGGATGAAAATAAAAAGGTGAGGTGTGAAAAATTCTTTTTAAAAGAATTGGTAGTTGAAATGTTGGTTGTCAAGCCTAAAAATCTACATTTTTGTCAATGTGATTTTTTGGTTTAAAAAAAATTAATAATATTATTAGTTTTACTAAATAAGACTTATTGATTTAAAAAATTTTAGATAGGACTTGAACTATCATAACATTTGTAAATAAGACTTTTAAATAATTAACTCAAAAAAAAAAATCTATGTTTAAAAACATAAATATCGTCTATTTTTTTAAGTAAACATAATAAATTAAATAAATTATAATTATCCAATCAACTTAATATTTTACCTAGATAATATACCTAAGGAGTAGCTTCCCTCCAGTCCGATGTCGGAGGGTGTTGTTGGACCTGTGAGAGCCCAACCATGACTCCCCATTTCGATAATCTGAACCGTTAAATGTGTAGAACTCGTCAAGTACTATATATTTCACAACAATCAAGTTAGTCGGATATCGATAACTATGTGATCAAACCAGTTTTATATTAAAAAAATGAACAGTAAACAAATTAATGATTGATAAAAAACTGATATAATAAGATAGTTATCGATATCCAATAAATATAATTTTTAACACACATATAATACTCAATAATTTATACACATTAACGACTTAAATTATCGAAAGAGGAACGTGATCGACCCCACATCAAACAGCCCCCTCCAGTCTAGGGAAGCTGCTCCTTATACCTATGTATCTAACAGAATAAACTATTTGAATTTTGAAAACGAAGAGCGAACTATACGGCTCCAAACAAGATTGTGCAGTCGTCGATTATAGAAATCCACCTCCTAAATCAAACAGACTCATAAAATCACCTCTTTTCCTAAGCTCTGAAAAGTTCCCATCTGGCAAGTCTTGGCCGAGGAGGAAGACATCGAAGGCCGACAAGCTTTGTATCAGCGCCGGAATAAAAAACGCAATTCGCCATGCCGTAAATTTCTCTACTCCGGCATGGCGGATGAGAGAAAAAACCAGCGGCATGAGCAACTGGGTTGCTCCGCCGCCAAGGTTTCCCCACCCACCCGCCACGCCGTTGGCTGTCCCGACCACGGTGGATGAGAACATAGAGCTCATCCAGAACTGGGTCGAGACAAAAGTAGAGAGAGAAAAGCCGGTGAAGAAGCGAACGAGGAGGAAGGAGAGAGGAGAGTCTGCAATGGCGGTTAAAAAGACTGCCGGGGCGGTGAGGAGGAGGAGGGTGGCGATGGTGAGGCGGGGCCCGAAGAGGTCACAGGCGGAGCCCACGGCAATTCGGGCGAAGACTGCGCCGGAGACGGAGGCGATTCCGGCGTTGCCGATGTCGGTGGCGGTGAGGTTGAGGTTGTCACGGATGACGGGGAGGAGGGGAGGGGCGGCGAAGGTGGAGAGGAAGGAGGAGAAGAAAGAAATCCAGGAGAGGTGGAAAGCACGCATGTGTGGCGGCGCCGCCGTGAAGAGGCGGAGTACGGTGGCTTTGTGTTCGGAGTCTGTTGGAAGTGGGAAGTTTGGAATTGGATGGCTGAGATTGATGATTTCAGTATCGTCAGACTGACTCTCCATGTTTGTGTGTTTTGAGATCAAGTGTTGAGTGAGCATCTAAAAAAAAATCAAGTGGTCAGTGAATCAAAATGATATGACAGAACAAACGAAAAATGGAGAATATATAGCAGAGCAATCATACACAAAAATAGAAGGAATATAGAAATTAAACAAACAATGCACTACAACTCTTCATAAGAGATGGGACCTACATATGGGTCTTACACTTTGTGAGATGATTGTATCACATTAGGTGGGTATTTGAGAAATTGTTATTTTAATAAGTTATTTTAATTTTTGATTATTTTAGGAGATTAAAATTTTATATTTGAGAAGATAGTTAGATTTTTTAATAGTTAGATGTGATATTTATAAGAAAAAAGTGAAATGATTATGAATTTAATGTGACATTTTATCTTATTAATTATTTTAACTTACTTTATCTTTTAATGCTATTTAAAAAAAAAAAAAAAAATTACTTCCCAGACACCCCCACATGTATTTATTTCTATTCATATAGGCTTATTCACAATAGACTGGCTTGCTTTAGGTTTGATTATTTTTTAACTTATTTTTAGGCTCATTTTTGTCTTTTGCTGAATTTTTTCAAAATTTCTTTTGAAAAAAATTTAAATTTCTAAATTTAACTCGACAAGTCAAATAGAAAAATTTTCATTTTTCAAAAAAATTCTAAATAGGTTTAGAAAAGACCAAAAAATAAAAAAGAGTAAAAAATAGTGAACTAATTGGCTTATTTTAGCTTTTTCAAAAAAATTTAAAATTTTTCAAGAAAAAATATTTTTTAGATTCATTTCAACAAGACGGATGGAAAAAAAAAATTGAAATAATTTTTTTAAAAAGTCATTAAAAACAAAAAAAAGTTCAAAAAAAAAAAAGTGATTGTGCCAAAAAAGCACTAAGATTGTGTTTGTTTGTGCATTAATGTGCTTGTATTAAGTCTCGTTTGTCAACTATATATTTTAGTTAAAAATTACTATAAGTTACATCACTCTCTCTATTTTTTGTATATATTTTTATAAAAAATTAAAAATTGCTAAAATAATTTGTTTCCAAACGAGGTATAAAAAGTGATTGTTTCTCACAAATGAAAACAAAAAAAAAAAATAAATAAAACAAAGTAAAAATAAATCTATGTGATTCAGCACGAAGAATAATGGCTTAAGAAGTTCACTATAAAATGAGGAAAAAAAATATAACTCTCATGTAATACAAATTCTCTCTAATTTGATAATTATTTTAATTTTACAATAACTCATAATATGTACTATGATTCGAATACAGTAAAGAACTGAGTCGGATCAAATCAGATCGTCAATAAATCGTAAACACATGCCAAAGAAAAATGCTTGGGAGCACTAATTATTGCTCCCACTAATTAGGTGGCAGTGGGTCCCGTCATTAATGATGTGATATTTTGGTCTTGGAGTTGTGTTTTTTTTTTTTTTTTTACTTTTTTAATGCATTAGTGCTATTAGTGGTGATGTTTTTAGTGGGATGAATCATTGTTGCATACCAAATAGAATGCGGGACATCCTCTGTGTGTGTGCACACAACTAATGCGTGCACTCTTGCTTTTGTACGGAAGAAGGGGGTGAAAAAATAGCAGACTTGTGTAGAGAATTATGAGGTTGTTTGGGATGTCTTAAATAAGTGTATTTTTTATTTTTTTAGACTAAAAAATTGAGGTTGAAAATATTAAATAAGTGTATTTTTTATTTTTTTAGACTAAAAAATTGAGGTTGAAAATATGGATGTTTTGGTTAATTTTTTGACTTTTTATGAAAAAATGTGTAATAAAAACTTGTAAAAATTGATTTGTAAGGAAAAATTCTAATTGAAAGTTGTACTTTTGGTGAATAGTGTTAACTTTTTAATATTTTAAATAACATTTTAACTTTTTGACTTTTTTACAAGTTATTAAACTTGGCCTATATATAGTGCAAAAGTCTTAAGTTTAGTGTTTATGAGAAAAATACTACATATTTTCTCATTTTGAAATACAAGTGAGTTAATTCTATATGGATTTATGGACGTGGGTCTCATAAATTTGTGGTTAGGGGTGAGAAAATAAAGTAACAATATAATTATATATAATAAAAACATTAGAGATCTCAAAAAAATTACCAAATATACTCACATGTGTATGAGTTTCATTTGGTGTGAGTTCTAAACTCATGTGAGTATTATATAGAATATTTGATAATTGTCACTAGCTTTGCTCTATGTATAAACATGAGTTGTTACTTTGGGTGTGTTTGGTAACGTTTACCTTTTCAGTTTATATTTACAAAAATTTTGTAAACTGGTTTTTGTTTATTTTTAGAAAAATATAAATTACAAACGCGTTTGGTAATTGACAAAATGTTTAAAAAAAATTTAAAATATAAAAAAGAGTGAGAAATGACAAGTGGTGGCAAGTGGCGGCGGAAGACGGTGGTGGAAA